AATTGTAGGGTTGGTGCCCTTGTGGAGGGAGGGTCCATAGAAGAAGAGATTTGGGTCTGAAATTTGTGGTTGAGTGGTGGTGGTGAACTTGCAGAGGGAGAGGATCGTTAATTTATTGGGGAGCGAGGATATTTTGGGAAGGAGGAGTATTGACGGGAGAGTGGAGAGGGGAAGAGAGTGAGGTCTGAGAAAGAGCTTGGTCACCACCATGTTACTGGTGCTGTGGACGAGGATGGTTGATTTGGGTTTCGCCGGGAAATCAGACCCCAAAAAGGCCGTCGGAGGGTTTAAGATGCTGTGCCACGCACGTGACCTTGGCGATAATATTTTGGAGGTTTTTATACAACATTATTATAAATAAATAAATCAACTAAATTTATAATTGCGTTTCACGAAATTGTGAAAATGAAGAAAAATGTCGCACCACTATGAGTAAGGTTAACTTTACCCACACAAAAAAAAAAATCACCAGAAGGCACATCATCAAATTTTTTATCTAATGCTTATTTTTAAATTCAAAATTAATTTTTTTAATATGTTATTTTATTTATAAAAAAATGTGGACTTTATATGCGTCACATCATCATTTAATGAACTTTCTAAGGCCCGGTCGATAGTTGAATCGCATTGCAATAATTTCGAAATGTACTAAAAATGAAAACATGGATACGAACATACATTATGTGTGGAAAGCTCATGAAACTATACTGAAATTGATACCAGATTTAATTACATCACAAACCAAATATACAAACAAGACCACATGCAACGACCAAACAAAAAAACGTAGTCATTGGCGGTGAATCGTTGGAGTGTGTCTTGGTAGCAATCCTCCAAGGATGAATTTCTTCTTGTCAACCTTGTTTGTTGAACTATCTCCAACACCAGTCCAAAGAGGCACACTAAAGAGCCACAACGAAGTGCATAGAATGGCACACATCTTACCATAAAAAATCAAACCCAACAAACTCATAAGCAAGAAACACAAACTCGTAATCGCTTTGTAACATCCTCTTGTTTTGTTCCTTTCCATGTTCATTACTTCATGCTCTTTTTGTCCATGCCACTCTTTGAAACCCTTTGAATCATTAGATTCAAACGACTTATTGGCTTTATCAGAGGAAGGTTTTGGATTGGCTTTTGAACTGTTGGAACTTGGTCGAATAATTTTTTCGGACAAATACCTCAAATTGGCTTTTAAACTACGCGACGAGCTTGATCGAAACGATTTGATTCTCTTGGACAAGGACCTGCTTGATGACCTAGATGATGAAGAGTTTGATGAAGATTTAGTGAAGATAGAAGAATTATTAGTTAAAGAGGAAGAAGTCTTGGAGACCATTCTTGGGTCCTCTTCCTCGGGCAATTCTTGATTATACTTTTTACTCTCATTTCTTTCCAAAAAATTTCCCTTCTTTCTCAGTTGAATCTTCTTGGCCTGTCAATAAAATATTAATTACTTGTAAGAATTAATAAGATCATGAAAAAATTAATATATTCATTCATAATAAAAATGTAAAAAGTTCTTTCGTACCTATAATTTAGGGCATTTTTCACGGTGGTTTTTGTTATGGCAATTTGATAATTTAGTTTGTTATCCATCACAATTCAAGGAAACATTCAATTTTCCGTCCAACTTCGTTATGGAATAAGCACTTGTCCCCGCCCCCCTTGCAAGGGGCTTGTAGCTTAAGTAGTTAAGAGTATTTATCCCTACACTCAAGGTCCTAGGTTCAACTCTCCCCTTCCCCAATATCGCTTGTATAAAAAAAAGCACTTGTCCCTCACCTGAGTGGGTGTTTTGGACGGAAATGTTCTTGGATTGCGATAAATATCAAACTACACATGGGTTAAATTGTTATAATTTAAACCACAATGACCAAAGTAGAAAATCTGACCAGCAAACTAGAGAGAGAGAGAGAGAGAAAAAAAAAAGACTTTATGTAATTGAACTCTCATTTGTTCTAAGAATTTAAATATTATATAAAAAATAATAATAAACTGAAAAACTAACCAAAGATGTCCCGAACAAGGCCGCCTTCCAAAAACGAGATAATTTGCGTCGTCCTTTATTTGTCTGATATCGACCGTCGTCTTTCTCTTCATTTGCATCATCATTATCTGGCAACGGCGAAACCATTGCCTTTGGGAACACCACATCTTCCCTTTCCTCTACGCCATCGTATGGAGTCGTTTTGGAGATCATTCTTGGGACATCTTCCTCCGGCCATTGTTGATTATAACTGGAAGTAATTGAACTCTCATTTGTTGTTGTGCTTGCAAAATTTTTTCCTAACTTTCTTTTTTGATTTTTCTTGACCTACAAGATATGCATGCAATATTAGTAGTAAGGATCAATAACATCATGACATGAACAACAAAATAAAGATTTATATGACCAAACTGATACAAGTAGTACGTATAGTCACCTCTACAACTTCTCATTTTGTCTAAATCTAGTTCCGCCCCGTATTTGAAAAAGTTTGCTTCGCGTAAGATGCTGGCTCTAGAGTTCGTTTAGGCTTATGGGTTTGGGTGATGTTTTGGGGTTTGTGGGATTGGCTAGATGGTGCTTAATTTTAATGATGTTTGTTTGTGCGGCATTTATCTTTGTTTGTTTTGTATTTTTGAACTCGTTCATTTTGTTACCCTTTTGAGCTTGATGTTTTTACTGTCTTGCATACGTATTAGCTGCGTTATTGGAATTTATATGCCTCAAAATTTGGCACAATCACGAAAGTGTGGGGAAAACAAACCATGAAGGATAATAGAGATTAAAACAAAACTAACCAGTGATGTTTTGGACAAAACTGCCTTCAAAACTTGAGAAAATCCACCTCGTCCTTCATTTCTCTGTTGAGCAGTGCGACATTTATCTTCATCTCCTTCACTATCAGACGTCAAAGATGACCTCACAGGCACCACCTTCGGAAACGCCACGCCTTCCTTTTCTCCCACACCAACATACGTGAAAGCATCCGTACCACATTGTCCCTTTTTGTCAGAGCCACCGCCGGCCACGTTACCAGATCGAAAACACAAGAAGAAATTCATAGCGCTCTTCTTCTTCTTCTTCCCCCTCTTCACTCGGGTCGAAGCAGAATATCCATCGGCAGTTGCCAGTGCATGGGAGGCGAAGGGCGGCGTGGTTTTCGCATTGCAAGGCGCCTTTGACATGAATTTCGGGAAGGAGGGAGGGTAGGCTGCGTATGTTTGTCAGCCGAGAAAGATGGGGCTCAAGAATCCTAGAAAGCAAGGGTGGGAGGGAACAATGTGGTGTGCCATTGATCTGCCGTGAAAATTAATTAAGGGCGGGGTGTGTGGTTTGTATTTGTAAGTGGCAAGAGAGTTTCATTGGCAGGCCATGTTGTGCGCGCTTCGTTTGCTCCGTTTGCATGCATTAAAATTTCAACTCAGAAAAGAAGGCGTACAAAAATAATCGCCAACACAAGCTGAGGGTTTAAATTTGGATTCAGAAGTGTTCTATTTTTTCACCTATATGGATTTGGTTGTTTTCTGTTTTTACCTTCTTCTTTTTTTTAAATAATAAGAATCAGCCAAATGTCAGTCAAATGTCAACGTGGCATTTTTGACTTATTTGTTAAAATTGGTTTGTTTAATTAGTATTTAAAACTAATTAAAATAGTGGTGGTTTGTGAGTTCAATGGTAAAGAGTATTTAACTCACTCTCAAACTGAAAGTTCAACGCTCGGTCTCCACTTTTCATGAACTTAATTAGGTATCATTCGGACCAAGTGAGAAAAACCAAACCATATTTATGGACAACTTTGCTTGTCACCTCTCTAATAGAGGTGGGCTCTACTAATGTATATGAGACCCACATGTATTAGAGATATGGTTAGCAATGTCATCAGTAAAAAATGTGATAAAAATAGCATCATCACTCGTAAGTTTGTGATAAGAAAAAAGTTTGGCTGAGGAGTACCTCCTCAAAACAAATGGGGTTTTGACACATGTCAAATTCCTTTATTATTATTATTTTTTTGCTTTGAATTCCTATAATTTTTTTTTATATTTTGGAATTTAACAAGTGTCAAAATTCTATTTGTTCTGCTAAGGAGCTCCTCCTTAGTTTTAAGGAACCAAGCCATGCTTTGTCAAGTCTTGTTTCTCCTTATTCCTTTTTGTATTATTAAATTCTTGACAAGATCTTTGTGTGGAGAAATTTTTAGCAATGTTCTATGAACTATAACCCTAATTGACTCGATCAATTCTTCCATTCAAATCATATTTTGAAGAGACATAAAATAAAGTGAAAATGGAGTTTGAATGGAAGAATGAGCCAAATCAATTAGGGTTTACGTGGGTCAAACCAAATTCTAACTTGAATGGATATAAATGCCTTTGAATTTGACTGAGGAATTGACAAACTTAACAGAATATGAGTCACACTGACATGTTTTGTAACATTAGGGAGTTCAAAACCAAATTTAAAGTTCATACGGTAAAGTGGAATATAGTTGAGGGGAAGTTGTTATTAGAAAAAAATAAAACACCTAACAAAATTATTCTAATTCCAATCATGTTGAACTCAAATGAAGTAGATCAGGTTGGGCTAATGTTTTTTTTTTGCTTTGGACCTCTATAACTTGAGCCCTAGCTTGAACCCTAACTTGACATAATACAAAAATAGGTATTCCCAATTTTCCTTTTGGATGAGTTTTTTATCTACCCAATTGTATAAACCACCCAAGCCTATTGAAAATTCTCAAGATGGTGAGGACTAAATTTTCAAATGCATAAAACACTTATTCAGTGTTATACAAACATACAAAAAATTTCTCCTATGTCTCTCTCAAAGACTCAATTGAAAGACTTTGCACCAGCTTAGGGCAAGGAATTTATTCTCTCTCTCTCTCTCTCTCTCTCTCTCTCTCTCTCTCCACATATATTCTAAAACCCTCTCTCTACTGTCTGTCTTCCTATCTCATTTCGCCATACCAGAAGGCTCTTCTTTGCAGAGAGCGATGATAAACCCCATGGACTTGCTCCGATCCAATCTCTCCCGGGTTCGGATCCCGGAGCCCACCAACCGCATCTACAAGCAAGAATGCTGCATATCTTTCGACACTCCGGTAACCTCTTCCCTCCATTTTTTTTGTTTTCGGTTTGTTTCCGATGAATTGTGAGAACAATCGAATTTACTCTGACACTTCCACTACTTCAAGCTTTGATACTTTTCAATTCGTTCGCTTTTCTTTTTGTGTTTTCTTGAGCTTTCTTGCCGGCCAAACAGAGGATCAGTATACTTATTTTTAATGTTGTTGTTGCTGATTCTGTTTGCTTGTGTTCCGTTTGGCTGCTGACGAAGTATAGGAAACAACAAGAAGCTGCTACAACTAATTTAGGATTAGCTCACTATATTGCCCATTTTCTTAATTTTTCTTTTCCTTGGATTTCTCAATAGCTAGTGTAAGCATTTGAGTATTTTGCCCAACTGCTACTTCAATTTTAACTGCGTTTTGATAATTCATATGGCTTATCAATTGTATTTATTTCAATTTTCTTTTTTCCTTGTATTTTGATGGTGCAATTTCGAAATTTTTTATTTTTGTCATGATTGCCTAGAAAAAAGTAGAGAAGGAAAGTAGAGTTGGTAAAGTTTTCTGTATGCGTCCAAGGGAAAATAAATAGAACCTACTATGAAACTTATTCTTAGGGTTTCAGTTACGGGTTTCTTACAAAATGATTTTATTTTGGTTTTAGGAGTTTTGTGCTTTGTTTATCTCCTCCTAGTTTTGTAGTTTCGCATTATTATGATTGAATTCTTTTCGTTTCTTCTTTCAAGTTATAAGTGCTAAGAAGGTTTCACTTTTAGTTGACTTGTAAATGTTGAAAAGTTCTCCGTTTATGTACTTCTTACATTTGTTTTCTGTGATGGTGTTTCCATGATGAGTTTCAGAGATCAGAAGGTGGCTTGTTTGTTGACATGAACACATTTCTCGCTTTTGGGAAGGATTGTGTGGGCTGGAATTATGACAAGACTGGAAATCCAGTTTATTTGCATATAAAGCAAACAAAAGTGTTGGTTCCCGAAGATAGGCCTTCGAAGAAACCAACACTCATGGCTATAGGTGAGTTTGATTTAGATGATCTATTCCTGTGTGATGATGAATATTGCTGAGTTTAGATGATGTATTTATGTAGTTTGTGCTATTTGAAGGTTCCATTATCAATGCTGCATATGTGCTTTTCGTATGGAAGAAATTAGTTGGTGAAATATCATGATATGCTAGTATTTAGACCACAGTGGAAGCAACAATTTGTATAATCATCCAGGATTAGGTTAGGAGTTTTTGAAACTGCTCACTTCTCACTAAAAAAGAAGTGCATGGCGTATAATGTACCCATAAAATAAGAAATTCCCGCTTTCTTTGTTAATATCCAAAAATAATGCTTATTGGCTAGGAATCATTGCAAATAAATTTGTACTTACAAATAATGGTTGAATCTTTTAGATATTTAAAGAATTATTCTCTCTCGCTCTCTCCCTCTCTAGTTTCTAGTATGGTAGTTCTGAGTCAATTTTCCAAGCTATATGACTGAAGAATATTTCTGGTAAAACTTATTTTGGTAACAAGGCAGGATGCAACTTTTGGGTAGCTTTCCCTTGTTTCTTCTTGCTTCAGTATATGCCTCTATTGTTTTATGTGGTTGGTACAAAGTAATATTGGTAAAGGTAATACTACTCAAAATTCGTGATGCAGGAACAGATATCCTAGTTCTTGCTGCACAAAGCTCAATGTTTATATTATTGTCTACTAGTTAGTAGCTTTTCTGTTGTATAGAAACAAAAATTAATCCATATGATATGATTTCTAGGTGTTGATGGGGGATTTGACAACAATGAACCTGAATATGAAGAAACTCACAGTATAGTCCTATTGCCTGATTATGTAACCCTTCCATTTCCTTCTGTTGAGTTGCCAGAGAAGGTGCCCATTTCTTGTCTATTTGTTCTATATAATTTTGATGCAAAAAATAGAAAAGAAATCATCTCAGGGAATGATTACGATTTATGACCACAGGTAAGGTTGGCGGTTGATGCCATTTTATTGGCTGAGGGTGCTGAGAGGAAAGAGCAACTTGCAGCATGGACAGCTGAGAAGAAGCAAGTTAGCCCATATGCAATGAATTTGCAACAGATTGACAATGGTATAGTGGTTCCTTCATCTGGCTGGAAATGTTCCAAGTGTGATAAAAGAGAAAATCTTTGGTTAAATCTAACTGATGGAACAATCCTTTGTGGGAGAAAAAATTGGGATGGTACTGGAGGTAACAACCATGCCATTGAACACTATAAGGAGACATGCTATCCTCTTGCTGTAAAGCTGGGGACAATTACGGCGGATCTAGAAGGAGCAGGTAATGGTGCCTTGTGTTGTATAAATATCTGCAATTCCTTATTCTATTTGTAGTCATGTGTTTGTGTTAAAGAGGACATTAAAGTTATTCATTTTCTATGACGCATGCTCATGAACTAAAAACACTTAGGCATCCTGAAAACTCCTGGCAAACATAATTTAATAGCTTAGCATTTTAAATGCAGTTGATTCTTCGGAATTAGTGAGTTTGCCTTACATGTATGGATTTCTAATGATGGGTAACATATTGTGGCAGCTCAGATGTTTTCTCTTATCCAGAGGATGATAGTGTCTTGGACCCACTTTTAGCACAACATCTGGCTTTTTTTGGCATTGATTTCTCATCATTACAGAAGGTTAGCTATAAATGGGTTTATGGCCTACAGTTTATTATTATTTTTTTGACCTGGCATCTCTATTCTCAACACGTGTTGAAGCTATGTTCTTAATACAGATGGTTTAATTATTCTCTAACAGTTGGGTTATATTTACGTGGTATTCTCATATATCAATTGCCAAATGGATATTAGTTCTTTTTTTCCCGAAAACATGTGGTAATGTATTTTTGTACACATTTCTTAATAACTTTATATTTAATATAAGATAAATTTTTGAAATTTTTGTTAATTAGGCATATCTTTAGCTGTAGTCATAGACAAAGTAATAATAATCGCCAATTAAAGACAATAATAATGTACTAGTGGGATAACAGAACCTGTGAAACATTTGATTGGTACGAAATGATATAATATCACATGGAGATATAAAAGATCTAATTCTCATATTTTAACATAAATAAATCTGTTGCAGGTGAGTAATCTAATGATTTAATTGCAGTAATGATTGTATGCATGCACAAAGCCATATCATAAGTATAAAAATTGACAAGATCTGGAGTTTTGCTCTTTGAACAAGTCTGGAAGTTTTCTCTTTTGGTTGCAGTGCTGTTTAGGTTCGGCACTCTCCTCACAGGGGTTTGACTCCCTATTTCACCTATGCCACCTCTTCCATTTTGGGGAGAGGGAGGCTCTTTACCATTTGGTTAAAGCCTGTGGTCAATCTTGAAGAATTCTAATGAAAACCAGAGAGCTCTGACTTCTGATATATATTGGAAAGTTTGGTGTTTTGTTTCCATGAAATTGCTTTAAAATTCCAAACAATTTGGCCCGGATATTATGCGTTTAGGTTACTGTACTTTTAATATGTTATTACATCAGTGTTGAATTTGATTGAATAACAATACCATCTTGTTTCCAGACCGAGATGACAACTGCTGAAAGAGAGCTTGACCGAATACCAATTTTGACTGGAACCGAATTCAAGAAAGTGGACAAGAAGTTGAACCGATATTTGGACCTGGTTACACTGGACTTGTCAATCTGGGAAACAGGTAGCTTTTGTACCTGTTGAGTTCTGCTGAAGAAATTGTATTTATTCAATGTTATCTTGATTTGCCATTTTGTTTTCTTGCAGCTGCTATATGGCAGCTACGATGCAAGTTGTGTTCTCAACACACTCTTTCTATTCCGGGTTAGTTTATATTATATATTTTCATGAAAAAGTAATTAATTTAGAAGAGGAGTTGTTTATCCTTGTTAGCATTTATTTCATCAGATACTACAAGAATCGAAATTTGAAATTGGCTTTTGAGAAGGCTCCAGCTGATCCCACTGTAGATCTTAACATGCAGTTGTAAGTATCTATCGGATTCTCAGTGTTGGTTTTGTACATGCATTTCTGTCCTCTGTTGTAGTTAATTATGTGTTGCTATTCTCGATAACAAAGCTAAGGTGTGTTACTTGTTAGTTGTGATTCTTGTGTTCAACATTAATTGCTTTTTATGAATAAAAGTTCTCCTTATTTTGTACATTTTGGTTTAAATGCAAGTGACTGCATGTGTATCTCCTCTGTTTTCCTTCTGCTACTCTTCTCTTCCTCAGCCTTTCCTTGTCGTTTCTGAGAAGATTGAGTCATAGAAAGCAGGTTTAGGAGGGTTTTTCATACATGTCATATGTATTTGACACTTCATGTTGTATGACAGAACAAAGCTGGCGCATGGTTTGCTATCTGGTAAATATTCCGTTCCTGTAGCAGAGGTATGCTTGTCATAGAAAACAATTTCTTTGTTTTGATGTTTTCTGCTTCTCTTCAGTGGTTGGCTGAGTTTTCTTATTTTTAAAATCAGGGAAAAGATGATCCAAATGCTACTGCTACTACAACAAAATCTGTAAGCTTTCTGGATAAACATCCACATCTGAGTTTTCCCTCCTTTGACTTATTCTGATTCTTTTATATTGTCCACCTTCAACATTTATTAGAAACAGGAAGGGATACCCCCTCGTATGTTTAAAGCAGTTATTGCTGCCAGCCATCCTGAATTTTCTTCCATGAGACAACAGGTACATTCATGATTTTTTTATGATCTATCACAAAAGATTTACAATTTTTGACAGAGCTCTTTGATATATATATATTTTTTTCGAGTGGTGTGTTTTTTTTTTTCCTGTTCGTCTCTCTTTTCTGCATCCTTTTCAATTTTTATGTTTTCTTCTTTGATTGAGGGATAACATATACAACAATTTTGTGCTAGTGGAAAGTCATTAGTCATCCTCTCATATATAATTTTTACTGTTATTATTGTTGTTTTCTCTTTAATGTGCATACTTAAAAAGCAAACTGTGTTTAGGATGCCTTGGAATTCTTCCTACATTTTCTTGACCAAGTCGAACGAGCCCATGCTGGAAAACCTGAAGCAGATCCTGCAAGGAGTTTCAAGTTTGGTATTGAAGATCGTATTCTGTGTTCATCTGGGAAAGTTGCATACAATAGAAGGCTTGACTACATTCTTTCTTTGAACATCCCCCTTCATGCAGCTACTAATAAAGGTGAGTTTCTTGGGTCATTATTAATACTAAAACAGTCTTCTAAAAGTTGATATTCTTATATTCATTTTGTTTGAAAATTCAGAGGAACTTGAAGCCTTTCAGAAATTGAAGGCAGAAAAGATTTCGGAAGGCAAGGAAGTGTAAGTTCATATGGTTTCAATATCATGTTTTCACATGTAATCACCCCTGTAGACTTTGTGCTGAGCATGTTGTGCTCTACCAGATCCAGTGATGAAATTGTACGTCCAAGGGTTCCTCTAGAAGCATGCCTTGCAAGCTTTTCGTCTCCAGAAGAGATACAGGACTTTTACAGCACTGCTTTGAAGGCCAAGACAACAGCAGTGAAGTAAGTTGTCTGATTATTTGCTGGCGTTAAATTACTAAATAGCTCACAAGCAAAGGCAGGCATGTTATTCACAAACTAGTCAAGGTTTTGTTACCTAGGCCATGTGTCTTGGATGTTTTCAACAGTAAACCAGGATTTAATTTATTGTTATGGAAAATTGGTTAAATCTGACTATGGAGCTAGTATGTTATTTTATTATATAGTTTTAAGATATCTAAGTTTGATGCCTATTGTTAAACACTTTTCTTCCCTTTCCTTTTTTTAAAAAAACACTGCAGGAGTGGAGGCTTAACTTCATTCCCTGATTATCTGGTGTTGCACATGCGGAAGTTTGTAATGGAGGTTGGCTGGGTGCCGAAAAAGCTTGGTATGTTCTCCTGGCTTCCTAAATTTCTTCTGCATTAATAATGTTGAGGTTTTGTAGGTTTCTCATTATTCTTTGTATCTGTCTGTACAGATGTCTATGTGGATGTTCCTGATATCATAGATATTAGTCACATGCGCAGCAAGGGACTCCAACCTGGTGAAGAGTTGTTACCAGAGGGTGGTATGTGTTACAATTTTGCTCTCTCCTAACCTTTATTGGTTTTATTTAGATATTTGCAGAAACTTATCGATTGTGCATATATGTTCTTAGATTTTCCATCAAGTGAATATTTCTGTGGAATTTTCAGTCAATTTATGGTGCGTTTCAGTGGCACCATAACTTTTGTGATAATCGATGAAGCAGGCTGACTTCAACCTAAGTTGTCTCATAGTCATGAACTAGTATTCAAACTTATAGGTTGAAAATATTTTTTCGCCATCTAACTGCATTATGCTCCTTTACCATATGTTTACTAAACTAATGGAGAAAAATGTGTCAGTATTTAGAGGGTTCCTTTTGCAGTTTTGGTCTTACATGGTATATGAGTAGTGCTTGTGAAAATTTTAATATAATATTATCTATTATTTGGTGAATAATTACATGGTTCTCTTTGGATTACGTGTTGACTATGCTCAGTTCCTGGGGAAGAGGAGGAACCAAATAAGCCTGTGGCCGATGAGAGTATTGTTTCACAGCTTGTTTCAATGGGGTTTAGCCATCTACACTGCCAGAAAGCTGCCATTAATACGTCAAATACTGGGGTGGAAGAAGCAATGAATTGGCTACTTTCTCACATGGATGATCCGGGTAATTCGATATGTGCTGTCTTGCGTAAAACTTGTTCTTAGAAAGTAGTATCTTGCTAGCACGAATGAGCTCTTGTGCTGATCTGCTCTTCCTTTTCCAGATATAGATGCTCCCATTTCTGAAGGGGGACAAAATGTGGTTGACCAATCAAAAGTTGATATGTTGCTTTCCTTTGGTTTTCAAGAAGACGTTGCTCGGACAGCACTGAAAGCATCGGTAAATTTTTTGCTTAGCTTCTTTTTCTTTTGAGAGTAGGTAGGTGCTATTAAGTATTTATTGTAACCACGGAAGATTTTGGCAACCTTTTATTATTATTGTTATTATTATTATCGTTATCGTTATCGTTATCGTTATGATTATTATCACTAAAAAACCCTTTAATGTAATTTTTTTTTGGCAGGGTGGTGACATTGAGAAAGCAACGGATTGGATATTCAACAATCCTGATGCTTCTGTTTCAACTGATATGGATGCGACAACATCAGAAAATGCACCTACTGCCGCTGATGCTGGACTACCTGATGGAGGAGGGAGTAAGTATCTCACACCTGTAATTATCTTTACACATACATACGTGTGTGTTGTGTATAATACATATATGTTACGTTGTTGAAACACATCTGCTGATGTGGGTGTGTGCGTGTGTTTCTTTTTAATGTTTGAACTGTTGGCACTTGCTCGATGCAGAATATAGACTTATTGGAATTGTGAGCCACATTGGAACCTCTACTCAATGTGGTCACTATGTTGCACATATCTTTAAAGATGGTAGATGGGTTATTTTCAATGATGACAAGGTTGGAGCTTCGGTAAATACCCCAAAGGACATGGGATATCTTTATTTCTTTGAGAGACTGAACAATTGAAAGACACCAGGAGGTTTTCACCATCGGAAGATGAGATCGAAGATGTTTGAAGTCGGAAAAGAGGCAGCGCATAATTTTGTGGAGCCTCAGCAATCTGCCAACATGCACTTGGTTTTGTGTAGTGTGGCTTTGAACCTCAGCCTTTTGTTATATGTTGGGGCGATGATTTTTCAATTTGCTGCATGGATTCATGCCATTTGCTGAGGCGCCGCACTCAGATCTAGCTGACCTTTACTCATTTCTCTTCTTCTTAACATATTGAAGTTCTCATGTTACCTTCGTACTTTCTGAAGAGAAATTATGAACTATAATTTGCACAAGGACCATCTGTTTCTAATGACAAGAAAAGTTTATGTTTCTATTATTACTGTTCTTGACTTCGTGCCGTTCATTGTTAAAGTAGACATATTTTATGGACTCAGGCTTTTGAGTTGAGGTGTAGGATGGGAAGTGATTCTGGAAGGGCTAGAATCACTTATGAGTTGAAGCACCTCCTATGTGCTTCTTCATATAATCACCATAAAATTTACTTGAAACTGTTGGCGAGTCCTTATTTAGCTAGAATTTTGGTTCCTTATTATGTTAGATTTTGGATATTATTTATTTAATCCTGTTATAATTAAGATTTATTTTCTATTGTAATTTAGATTCATATCCTATTTTATTCACTTAAATGATTAAATGGATAAGTGATTATTGACCCATTCAAAATCATTCAATTTTTTCGAAAGTAGATTTTTTACTGAGGCCGTGTAAACAAGTTATTTTATGTTGAAAAGCTGAAACCAGACTTTGATGTGAGTTCTTTGATCATATTTGATTATTCTGTGTTGCAACATCTTAAACTAATATCAGAAATGAAACGCAAATTTAAAAGTGAGATGCAACATGACCATAAATTTTCTCAACAGGATTCCTGAATGCCCGGAAAACAGCATCCTCCAAAAAGGAAGCAACGTTGTGCATACGAAAATCTAATAAGCTTAGAGATCTACATGCAATAATTTGCTTCGGTAATTCGGAATCAAGATTCAGTTTCCTTCAGATTATCTTCTTATTTTCATTTCTTTAACTAGCATTGGTACGTAATACATAATCAGTCGTGAATGTCTCAGCAACCAGTGCCATGCAAATGCTGGTAAGCTGAGATTTGATCTTGGTTGCTCTTCCAAAAAGGGTTTAAGGGTGTAGTAACCAGAAAAAGGGAAAAAAAGGCGTCAAACCTTTCCTTGTCACATGGGACAACATTTTTCTTTTATCTATTGGATTTAACTCTAGATATCCGGTGCCAATTGATTGAAACTAATGCACACTCTATTCGAGAGGTGGCATAGGACAAATAATCTGGCATTTGTTTTGATTGATGAAGTTGATTGTTGCTGCTAGAGAGAGAAGATCAATGTAGACCAAATAAAGAGAAGGCAAAAGTTGGGCTTCAAATCTATACTTTCCCCTTCAACCTTTCCCCTCCCCCCCCCTTGGTAGTGAATCAAATGATGGCAAAATGCCAAAATAACCTTCCGCGCAATGCGCACTAGGTTCCTCCAAATATTAAAATTTATGAAAATTGAAAATTGAACAGATAATACATGCTAATTAAGTACAAGGGTATTATTAAAAAATATTGAATCACAGGTCCTAAATACAAATTTAGTCAAACTACAAAGACCAAGGGTGTAATTTGGCCAAAAGAATACACTAAGAAGTAATCATAAAATGACAGGGCAACAGAAGACAAAAAGGCATGTAGGAGACTAGAAGAAAATCCATTATTTCTCTCGTGTATAATATGTATATTCTCTTTTCTGTTGTCAAAATTTTCTGAGGTAATGAAATAGTATTGCCTTTTTCTACGGGCTTAGTAAAAAGAGTAAAAATAAAAGTATAAAGATGGCACCTTTTATGGGGCCATGAGTCCTTCAATGGTGTAAGAGAGGGACTCTGCCCAGTCAGCCTTAAAAAGCAATGTCTGTAAAGTTTGCATCACATCATATCCTGGATCAAGCTTCCGTTGCCACCCCTAGTGAAAGAACAAGAAAATTTAAATACAACCAAAACTGACATAAATTAGCCCCATAAACTCTGAGCCACTTCCTAAAAAATATAAGATAAAATAAAAAAACCACTAACCCCTATAGATATACAGGAAATGAGATTCAGAGAAACAAACAAATTGACCATAAAGAACCAATCGAGCTACAAAAATGCATCATTCAAATCAATATGCAACACTTTTTGTTTGCCTAGCCCAGCAAGAAAAGACTTCCTGTATGGTATTATCTAGTGAGACAAACGAGTGAAGCAAACGAAAGGACTAGTAAGTACCACACGTCATTGAATTATCCAGTGAGGTGATGGAGAGGAATTATAATCAGCAATGGCAGATGATCAAAATTTTGTCCATGGTTTTCATACTAAAAACAATTGTTACAGTTTTCACCAGAAGTAAAGGCTGAAGTTGAACCATGACTGTGAAAGCCATCTTCAACTTCAAGAATTTTTGTTTCACAGAATGTCAACATATTTCCCTTTGTTAAACATCACCAGAAAATGAAAATGTTCTAAAAAAATTTAGGCAATTTGGTATGGTCTTCATTAAGATCTACACAATGATTACCGAAGTAAATCTACTATTAATAAGCATATGGTTCCTATTTACTTTCCTTCCCAGTATTTTGAAAATTGCATTCCCGAGAATGTAAAGGTAACGCAAACATTGAGATTTATGGGTGGATGTTATCTAAATTTGGAGACAGAACCATCCTTGAGTTTCCTTAAAAAACTTAATTTATGAAAAATTACTTCCAGAAATCACAAGCTGCCATGTAGATTTCCATGGCATTGTCAGTTTTCTTAATTTTTAAACAAAGAAGGGTTTTCCAAAAATGATACAAAGAAACCTCAACTTGCTAAGGCAAATTTTACAAACCTGCTGATGTGCGAAATAGGGTGTTAAACCAGCAGTTCCTTAACTCTACTTATATGGAGCACTAACATGATTGCAACAAAAAACATTGAAAGGTAGAAAACAACACTGAGAACCAAAGAATACATTTTCACTCACTCATTGACATTCACGTAACATTGGTGACATATTACAGCCTACAATTTCAAACCCAATAAAATAAAATTACAGCCTAAACATGCAAAACATGGTCAGACATGCCTCTTCTTTCTCCAGCTCTATAGAACTTCAATAACTACATTAGAATCTAAGTTTCATTGGGTAAAGCTATTGGATTTAGTATGTGTAAAGGTGTGTGACTTTCATACAGATGTTTGAAGCAAGCAAGGCCATACCTCAAGAACCAAAGTGGTCACCATCACTGTGCAAACATTGCCATCAATTCGGACTTTATGCCGCTGAACTTTCTCAAGCAATTGATGCATGCAATCAGCAGCATGGATGATGTCACCGTCTGGGGAGTACCATATTTTGAAAGATCTTTCTACTTCCTGTTAAAGAAATGTTCATAAACTTATTCCTATATATATCCACAATGGGTGACTATGTTCTATCTCAATCTATATAAACATAAAAAAAATAAAGCAGTTTGCAGAACTCAAATACCCAATTTGGGAGTTAAAAGAAAATGGGAGGACTTCAAGAATCAAGGTACTACAAACATGTTTAAGTTTGCATCTTTTTATACAAGATTCAAGGCCACAATCTTGTTTGAGGCCTCAGAGTCCGATTTGAAGCTTGGACAACACCTTGGCAAACATATACATAATAATTTTTAACACATAATATGAATTATAAACAATGATTCCACTTATGGCCACGGCAAGCCCAAAGGAACAAAACAAATACTGTCCAACAATAACTTTTGAATTACTTTCATTCAGCATCAACATCACATAGGATCAAGAAATCAATCACATTTGTCATGCTCTTAAGATAACAAATATGAAATATATTAACTATGCCGACTGAAACACTTAAATTCACAATAAGCTTGGGCCAAATAACATTCAATTGTTTTCTACAAACTGTAAAGGGTGCAAGATTTTCTTCACATGTCCAAAATCATAAGAAAACTAGCAACCCCCATAGATCATTATTGTATTTCCACCACCCTTATTATGTCCAGGAACAAACATTTTTCATTACCAGGTGCCATAGTCTAGCATTATGGTCCTAACATCCAATAAGTTCCTTTCTAATAAACTATTTAATTTTCAAGAGAAACTCAGAACTATGTCGTAATTGGTGCACCAGGAATATATTCATGTTAAAAAGCTGAAATGCACAAACGGTATTTGATTAAACGAGGGTATTGTGAAGAAAAATTTACATATTTGCAAATATCTTGAACCAGTAGTTCATATTCATGAAAATTATGAAGATAAAGTAACTTGGAAGAGTTAAAACAGGGCCAACAGCCTTTAAGCCCAGTAGTATCTCCTCTTCCTTAAGAGTGGAGAGTGAGTTTTCGAAATTCAATCCTTCCCAGGTACATGTGTTGTAATCCTATCATTTGTTGGAAATGTTTATATAAATATTTTGGATAAACGAGGATCAAAATGTGGAGAAGAATTCATGACTAATATATTAGAAAAGCCATGAATCTTTCTTTTTTGGGTAGATAAGTATGAATTATTTACCGAAGTGGCGAAAGTGACAATTTTAAAAGCCTTAAATTTTCAATAACAAGAATTAACATTTTGCCTCCTACCATAAAAGCTATGCAGGAATGCATTACCTCAATGAAAGCCCTTGGGTTTGGACAGTCTTGTTGTCCAGATAATCTAAGGGTGCACTCTGCAACAGTTCGACCATCTCGAAGGGCTACAGCCTTAAAGAATTCCACTAAATTCAATTGATCTCTCTTAGAAAGTTCAGCAGTCATGCCCACATCAAGGAAAACAACATGAGGCCTCAATCTAAAGAGTTGTTTACTTGGTGACTTGCAACGGTACACTCTGACAAGAATATTCCCAGGATGCATGTCAGCATGAATAAAATTATCTACCTGACAAAAGAAAAAAGGTGCATATCTTAGCATAAAAATAAAAGATGAGAACTGTCAGATTCAAGCTACTTCAACATCACATCACAAGGCACTACTCGCTTCTACCGTCAAACAATCACAACTACCTAACTCTTTTACAAGAATTATACTGATTAATAGTACTGTACATCACCTACATGACTTTTTCACAGAATCTTTTAGCTTCACTCTTTTACTATAAATAGAAAATTCAATACCTCGCCAGCTCTTAAACAGGCATACATGCTGCAAACAGATTTATACATGCATGTAGTGAAAACATTACAAATCTTATTCCTGCTTCACAGGTGTAAATTATAAATTTCCACTAGCCTCTGATACCTGTTCTTTAGAGTATGATTGCACAAACATTCAACTAGCCCATGTCCTACACCGTGGGTTCTAGGAAATTAATGCAGATATTGTTATTGGACAGTTGCATTTTCAAGACTGGTTAAGGATACAACATAAAGAAACCAAGTATATCAAGATGAAGGATTAACTAACACAAGTTAAAAAGATTACAATAAAAAGAAACTAATAACAATTGCAACAAATTAAGTTGTACCAGAAGCATCTTTAATAGTGCATGCGTCCCAATGTGAGCAAGGGCATTCTTTATTGGTTCATTTCCTTCAAGCTCATCAACATAGTGCATAACACTTTCGCCCTGTTCATAAGTTTCCACTAAAACAGACGGGTGCACCAGGGGATATAGAGGCCTTGGAAATGAGACGTCCTTCCATCTTCGAAAATTATAGATAAAACGATTCAAATGTGCAGCTTCCCTTGACAGATCAACTTGTGACATCATGTAAATGGCAAATTGCTGTATGCTTTCATCCAATCTCAAAGACTTCAAATAAGGGATGAACCTCGAAATTTTGGCTATGCAATTAATAATCACAAAATCCCTTCTAATTGCTTCACCAACACCTGGATGTCTAACCTTGACAGCAACGACCATGGGCTTGATCTGCTGACCTGGGTATTTGTATTTGAGTATAGCTTGATGAACTTGAGCAACGCTTCCTGATGCCACAGGTTCCATATCAAATTTCTCAAATATTTCAGGCAGCTTGCGACCAAATGCCTTCTCAATACTTTTCTGGGTGAAGTTAAAACTATGTGCTGGAGCTTGAGTGTGAAGTTTTGCAAGTTCACTACACAAATCTCTTGGGAAGAGATCTGGTCTTGCAGCAGCCCATTGACCCCATTTTATAAATGCCGGGCCTGCTTTTTCCAGTGTAAGATGGAGAACACGAAGCCATATTTTCCTAAACTGAATGCCAAGTGACTTTGCAAAAGGTGCCATAGCTATGCATGGTGAGAACAAAACTGCTAGATATATTGCTCTGATAAACAAGATAATACACTCCAGAAGTGAAAACAAAATTAAGGTTAAATAAACATGTCCATCTTGGGCATGAAGAAATAGAGTGTCTTTTGTTGGGAGGCCTTCTGCTTCTGCCAACGTTCTCTGTGTCCGAGCAAACTCTCCAACTATGAAGGCAATAACACCAGGAGCTACTAGATTTGAGCGAGTCAAAGCCAAGCTCACTGCACGCGCAATTTGACCAATTGGTGGTAAAACGGGGCCCCTATAGGAACATAATTGAGAAAGCTTTTTCCAAGCAAATTGGGCATGATGAGAAACTCTCCTTCTTGGCGATAAGGAATATAAGTTTCTAGAACCACTACTCTGTAATAACTTATCTTTTGCTTTCTGTAACATAAATGGGGACTGCCCTCTTAAACAATTCTTATACCATGGAAATAATCTGCATAGGGTGTAAGGAGCTTCAACTGAGTAATATGCCCTGCTGCTTGCAACTTCTAAGTAACCAGCTTTCTGAACTGGAAGAAGGGATCTTGCACCCCTCCTCACATTTCCGCAGGCCAAAAATCTGCATATCACCAAATCTCTTCACCATACCATAACACAGTCCATCTAAGCTAGTAAACTGAAACAAGAAAAAAAAATGGAAACAAAACAAAGATACTACTCCAGCATGCAAATTATGCAGACATTGGTTGGTTCATTACTATTCCAAAATTTCAAACTATTAGCATATGAAACAACAAATTTATACTCTTAAAACACTCTCTCATGCGTAAGGATCACCAATCAATGGAGTGGAGACCCAATACAAGGAAATCAACAAAAATCAAAAGGTTGCAGATACAGAATTCCAAATGAGGATCATCTGAATTCATAGAATGATAAATTTTATTGGTCTATTTCTGTTTCCGCAAGCATAAGGTGTTATTTACCCATCACTTGCCTTGAAACCAAAAGTTTAAATAGCCCTGTGATCCATGCTAGGATGCTTATTTGCGTTCTATTTATAACCTAAGAAATGTGAATCAGTGTATTTCTGAATGCGAAAAGATTATTAATTCAGCCATAACAGAACAATAAGTTCAACCAATTGACAAATTGGATAAATAAAAAACCCAGTTCAGCTCAGTGAACCTCTCTGTTTAGTTGATGAGAAATTAAAATTGGCGGATTATATTAATTGGACCCAGAAAGCAAAAAGCAGCATAAACGAAAGGCTAATAGGAGAGCATATTGATATCATTCAGTTAAGGCCCATTTGTTTTCTTTTCCCTCAGTTTTCTCAGCTACCAAACAAAGTGCAAGAATCCAATATTCAAACAGACCAAAGATGGAGACTTGGAGAACAGACGACAAGGTTCTACAGGAAAGCAACCTGGACATGGTGACTGGATTCGTGATCGCCGTACTCTTGGAGAAGCAGGTGACGCAGTAGGCACGGAGGCATTTCTATCAAAACGACGGCGTATAAACCATCATCAGCGTCTGGAATGCCTCGGCCATCTGTCACCGTGAACGGCGATGATCGGGCGGCGCATGGTGGTGCTTGTGCCACGTGCCAGTTTACGACTGCTCGGAAGGTCGTGGTTTTTTGTTGTCTAATTTGGGTAAGAATTTGAATGGAAGGTCGCTCTGGTGGGATTTGAGTGGTGATGAGCGGAACCTGCTGCTAGGATTTTGGGCGTTTGGAGTTCTCTGCGATTCACAGCTTCGAATGAACGCCGTCTATTTCTTGGTGTTTTTTCTAATTTGGGCTTTTTATTTTGGCTTTGATCAAGCCCAAAGCACCCGAACTGCTCAAATCCATCCATTCATTAATTTAACTTTTTTGTTTTAGTTCTAAAAACTCATCTACAATTTTATCCTCGTACAGAAAATCTATAATTTTGCTCGTGTGTTTTTTTTCTTTTCATCATACGATTTTATAGAGCAATTTAAATAAATAAATACATTATCTAAATTACAAATTTTGTGGATGTGGTTGAACCCAATTTCACTTGAGTACATATATTTTAATATGTTAACAAGTTTAGGACAAACTTTATTTTTTGGTCAATTTAATAAACGGAATGCCCACATGAGCTAGGGGATACCTCATCATTCCCTTTAACATTTCAAGAATCAAACTATAGAAAACATGTTAATTTTTTAATAATTGGATGGAATTAAATTGTGAGATCCGTGACTTTAAGTACATGACATTTACGAAGTGTGTATCAATTGAGAATAGTCATGTGATATGTGAAAAGTTGCATTGTTTCATAGGAATTGAAACATTGTACTTCTTGGCTTAAGTTGCATTGTTTCATAGAAATTGAAACATTGCACTTCTTAGTTTAATTATGGTGCATTGTTTCATAGTAATTGAAACATTGCATTTCTTGGCTTATGATTGCAACATGAAAAGACACATTTGTTGATATTTTTCAGTCACATCTTTTCTGAATAGAGGTCTTGTTGCCTATAAATAGAGAAGGTCCTACAATATTTCATTTATCCAATTGTCATCCAACAATAATAGTTTTTATAGCATTCATAGCATTATATTTTTTAGAAATATAGTGAATTAGTAAGAGAGAATTCATACAGAAGTTTGAGTTTGCTTTTCTTGGGGATTGTAGTGCTACTTCAACAAGAAGTTGATCGTTGTATCCTAGGAGACGTTTGCCAAGTGTATAGGTTTTTTTCTTCCGGCAGCTGTAAGTGGGCTGGGATGCCGTAAAGAGCAAATGGATGAAATTATCCCCTGTGTCTGAGTTCGAAGATTAAGCCCCAAAAATGCTTCGAAATGACAGAGATGCCTTAGGAAATACCTTGGTTACCTTCATCAACAAAAATAACAACAACTTACAAATAGATTTTCTAGCTTGGCATGAGAGGTTTGTGGCATGGAAGCAAAATTGACATGAGTTTAGAATTGAAGAGAAAGCTATGCATTCTTGGGGGAGAGAGGAAGCTTGCTTTCTAGATGTGGTTGTTTTAGCTAATGATGAAGTAGTGAGTGTGTTGGGTAGTTTCCGGCAGCTCAATGAAAACTCTGTCAAGCTTTGGAAAAGTTTACCAAAAGGGAAAATGGGAAAAGATGGAAGGATGAGACTCAAAACTGCAGAGGTTTCAGAGGTGAGAGATAAAGCTTGCTCTCTAGATGTGTGTTTTTTATGATGAGCAGGAAATGCCTCTTTTTATAGGCTTTAGAAGCTATTCTTTTCCAAGAAACCCTAATGGTTTCTATCTAATTTGGCCAAACTTTTCCCTTCCTTTGACTTATCTTATAATGGAAAAAATCCTCTCTGCCCAATCTCACAAAATCAGGGATTTTTGGGAGCTCAATGCTCTTCCCGCAGCTGCCTCAGTAGAGAACTCCCATTTTCAACCATATTTCTTCCTTCTTTTCTCCCCTCTTCTATGGCCGGGTCTGATGAGGGAAAGAAATGGGTATGCATGCTGGTTCAAAAGGTGATTCCTCTCCTAGCAAGCTGCGCGCCAATATCCCTTGGATGCTTTTTTCTTGAAACTTGTTCATTCCCATGTGCTGGAGCCTCCCAGCAGCTCACTGACATGAATATTTTGGCTTTCATCGTGGCTTTTGTTTTCAGCTAGGTGCTGGAGATTTGCAGATATTTTCTTGGGTTGCTTTGGCCTTCTAGGATAATAAGTTGGTTTATCAAGTAAATGGGCTAACTTCATCAATTGTTGGGCTATTTTGGTTGGGTTAATGGGCTACTTTGATTGAGATAATGAGCTATTTTTTCTCTTTTGTATTTACCCACATGTTTGGGCCTAAAAAATGGGCTTAAGTTTCGAGGCTCCCAAGCAACCCGAGACTTCCATTTCTCGGCCCATCAATAGGCCTCATGTCAATTTATTACTATGCATACCACAACCCACTCAAGTAAGCCATGTGCATCTTGCTTGGCTTAGGCCCACTTAAGCTTATAGTGTGGCGTGTTGCTTATTTGCTTGGCTTGGCATGTGTGCAAGTGCATATAACGAACTTTCGCGTGCCCAAATCGGGTTTCTTCTTGGTAAGGTATAGCATTTGGCTGAAAATATATTTGAGCCGAACTATGGATTTTTTGGGCCTCAACACCAAGTAAATCCTAAAAGCACTTGTGAGGAGGCAATTTCTTCTTAAGGAGACATAACCAAGTTCTAGACTCTATCATTTGTAAAGTATTCTTAACATTTACCTTGTCGTTATTTTCTTGTATTTATTTCGAATTTATAGTGAAGTTTTATTTTCTAAATTTTGTAAATATAGCAATTATCTTTATATTTTTACCAACAAAACAAAAACCAGGGTAGATGGCCTAGTGGTAAGCGCGCCTACCTGGCTCCTAACAATCAAAAATTGGGAGGTGGGTTCAAAATGTGGAGCTTTTGTGAATCTATCAGGCTCTAGCCATGGATAGGGTGAAATTCCCCATAGCCTCTTTGGGTCCCTGAAGGGAAGGTCTGACCGCGATTCGCATCCCATTGGCCCTTCCTTCTAGAAAAAACAAAAAACTACATAAAACAAAAAAGAAAAAAGAAAAACCTCCCCTGTTAATACCGAATTATCGGGTGCAAAACGTATATGTATTTGGTTTAGTCACTTCCCTTATCATGTTTGACATATATTGCAGTTTTAATTGTTTGAATTTTAAGATATCTCAAGATCTTCTTTGTAAATTCCTTTGTATTTTTAGAAAGGATTAAATGTCAAAATGGTCCTTGTGTTTTACCATATTCGTTTAATCCTTATATTTTTAATTTGACCAATTTCATTCATGTGTTTGGTACCGTTAGCCAATGTTGTCCATTCTGTTAAATTTGTTGTTAAATAAACATGATAAACTTGTTTTTGTGTCTTTTAAAAACTTATAAACCTTGTTGAAATTAATAAAAAGAATTGAATTAATCTTAAAATATTAAATTTCATTAAAAGTAAAACATAACATTAGAAGAAAAAACTTGAAAGAAAAAAAAAGAAAAAAGGATTTGGGTTGTCGGGATGAGCGAAGGGGCACAGTGGAGGCCCTAGGGGGAGCGGGGCGATGACCGGTTAGGCAAAGATGGGAGAATGAAGAGAAGTTTCCAATGAATTACGAGGAATTCTCCTTGATCATTCTTTTGTCATTGCCGATATTGTTGCTGTGTTTCAATCTGTCCCTACAACATTAAAACTCTAACCCTAAACACTACCTATTTCTGATGCACTATACACCTGACCTATAATCCTAGCCCGCCATTGCCGTTTACCTTGCTACTATCGCCGACGTTTACCTTGCTACTACCTTACCTACTGTGGTGCTCATAGGGTTTATGTATTCTGCCTTATTTGCTGCCGTGCTCACAGGGTTTCTGTGTTCTGCTTATCTACTGTTGTGCTCACAGGGTGTCTGTGTTCTGCCTTACCTATTGTCGTGCTCACAGGATTTCTGTGTTCTGCCTTACCTACTGTTGTGCTCATAGGGTTTATGTGTTCTGCTATGTGCCCTATTTTTTAGGATTTGCTCTTGTGTTTCTGCTGCGAACTTTCCTTTAGTTTGTCACTTGTTTCACTCGTGGTAGACGAAAAGACCTTCTCTACTATTTGTGCTTATCAAGTATGGTGTTCTGTGACTCGCTTGTCAAGTTGGGCGTGCGAAATATCTTTGCCCAACTTGAGAGGGAATGTTTAGTTAGGATTTTGGTTCCTTTTTTCATTATAATTTTAGTTACTTACCAATTATTATTTAGTCCTATTGTAATTTTTATATATTTCCTATTTTATTTAGGGTTAACACATCTTTATATTTGTATAAATTCCTTCATATTTGAGAAGAATAATAATATGAGCAAATATGAGCGTATCTGATCATAATTGAATATTTTTCCTACTTTATTTGGTTTGAAATAAAATATGAAAAATATCTAAATTATAATAGGAAGTAAATCTCTATTACAATATGACTAAATAATAGTTGGTAAGTAACCAAAATTCTAATGAAAAAAGGAACCAAAATCCTAACAAAGTAAGGACTCACCAACACTCCCCATCAAGTTGGGCAAAGATATTTCGCACGCCCAACTTGACAAGTGAGTCACAGAACACCATACTTGAGAAGCACCAATTGTAGAGAAGGTCTTTTCGTCTACCACGAGTGAAACAAGTGACAAACTAAAGCAAAGTTCGCAGCAGAAACACAAGAGCAAACCCTAAAAAATATGGCACATAGCATAACACAAACCCTATGAGCACGGCAATAGGTAAGGCAAAACACAGAAATCCTGTGAGCACGACAATAGGTAAGGCAGAACGTAGACACCCTGTGAGCACGACAGTAGATAAGCAGAACACAAAAATCATGTGAGCACAGCAGCAGATAAGGCAGAATACAGAAACCCTGTGAGCACAGCAGTAGGTAAGGCAATAGCAAGGTAGGCGGTGGCCACAGTAGCAAGGTACACAGCGGCGGCGGGCTAGGATTATAGGTTAGGTGTATAGTGTAGCAGAAATATGTAGTGTTTAGGGTTAGGGTTTTAATGTTGTAGGGACATATTGAAACACAGCAACAACATCGGCAATGACAAAGGAATGATAAAGGAGAATTCCTTGTAATTCATTAGAAATTTCTCTTCATTCTCCATCTCCCCTGAAGAGAAAGAGTCGTCGGAGTCAAGAAATAGACTATATCTTCAAGGGTATGCATCAAGGTAATGGGTATACGTCGATAAACATATATATATTACAATAGGAAGTAAATCTCTATTACAATAGGACTAAATAATAATTGGTAAGTAACCAAAATTCTAATGAAAAACGGAACCAAAATCCTAACTAAGTAAGGACTCGCCAACAATATGTATTTGGTTTAGTCACTTCCCTTATCATGTTTGACATATATTGCAGTTTTAATTGTTTTAATTTTAAAATATCCCAAGATTTTCTTTGTAAATTCCTTTGTATTTTTAGAAAGGATTAAATGTTAAAATGGTCCTTGTGTTTTACCATGTTCGTTTAATCCTAGTGTTTTTAATTTGGCCAATTTCATTCATGTATTTAGTACTGTTAGCCAATGTTGTCCATTCCGTTAAATTTGTTGTTAAATAAACACGATAAACTTGTTTTTGTGTCTTTTAAAACCTATAAACCTTGTTGAAATTAATAAAAAGAATTGACTTAATCTAAGAATATTAAATTTCATTAAAAGTAAAACATAACATTAGAAGAAAAAACTTGAAAGAAAAAAAAAAGGATTTGGGTTGTCGGGATGAGCGGAGGGGCACGGTGGAGGCCCTAGGGGGGAGCGGGGCGACGACCGGTTAGGCAAAGATGGGGTGGAGATCGGGTGGAATATCTGGGGAGTGGCTGGGGATGGGGCAAATGGCTAGGGAATGGTGAGGGTAGGGGCTGTTCTTGAGAGAGAGAGAGGGTGGGGTGGATCAGACATGGTGTTGCCAACGGCGGAACCAGGATTTTTTCCAGGGGTAGGCTAAATTTTTTTTTCATGGCTTCTTCTATTATATAATATATCATGCTTCAAATTATCTAGATTTTTTTTTGGTAAGGGGGCAAAAGCCCGAAAACAGCTAGTAAACTCAAAAGAAAATCCCATTCTTCAGAAACCAAAATCTTTTTTCTTTTTCTTTTTGGTAAGAAACCAAAATCTAAACAAGCAAAAAGAAGCCTCGGAGCTCTAAAACAATGGCTTGCTCTTTCACTTAGTAAACGGACTAACAAAATGAAAGAAAACAAATCGACCCATTACTCAAACGAAAGCATCAGAGCTTTAAAAATAGTTCTTTTCATATATGGTAAGCATATAAAGATCAGAGGCCAAACCCAACAGAAAAAAAAATGTAGAGAGACAGAGACCTTTGAGGCTTTAAAAGCACAAAACAGCACCCAAAAGAGAAAACTCAAAAACCCAGAACTCCTAAAGAGATTTAATTTTCTTTCTTTTTTGGGTGTGATCCAGCCAAAATGGCCACAGAGAAACCACATTGAAAGAAGGAGGAAGAAGAAAATTGGCGGAGAGTAGAGCTGGTTCATTTATTTTGAGCTAGGGAAAAGAAGAGAGAGAGAGAGAGAGAGAGAATGAATGAATGAATGAGAGAAGGAGGAAGAAAAAGGAGGGAGAGAAGAGAAGAAAGAAGAAAACTGGCGGAGAAGAAAAAAAGAAAGAAAAGTGTTGGTCCCGCTAGCCTCACCACCACCTCCCAATTGTGGGCTGAGAAAAACAAAAGGTGTTGTGTGTGTGTTAAACGGTGG